AACTCTTTGAAATATAATTAAAAAAGACCTTAAAGGCAACTGATTGTCAACAAGGTTATGTTTCTGTTCTCTTTTTTTGAAGAGGATGCTGAAAGGTTCTTAATAAGTCTGATTGATGTATTACTTGGACAGGATACTGACTGGCCTCATCAACACAAAGAACAGTTTTCATAAAGCTCTGAGTGAATGAGTTGGTGTCACATTGCTTTAGTGTTGACTGGAATACCTCTGACCCCAGCTCCAATTATCAGCTCCTAAAAAAGACCCATGCTCTCTTGAGGAAACAGTTTGAATTACTGGGAGCCTGTGGGAATGATGGGATTTTCCATAGCAAAACATCGTGCCTGAACAGCTGCTCTTTGATCTTAGAAAATATTTTCCACCATGTTGACATATGAAAAAGATAGAAATATTAAATAGACTGATAACATTGTTCCAAAAATAGTCTATTAATCTATTTTCCAATTTTTAAATACACCAGAACCAGCACAAACATCAACTGTATGGTTCAATAAAAAAAATTGGAAATAGATACTTAAATCATCTGTCTTTTATGTATGAGAACATAACTCAAAATCCAAATATTTTTGTTTCATCACAACATTTATTATTTATATAATTCTACATTCAGACATTACTAAGACAGATAAATCAGACAATCTAAAATGTAATTGATAAATGTGGCTCATAAATAATTTAAGTTTAAAAAAAAGCCTTCATTAGGAATGTGGGCTACACAGTTGTACAGTGGGTAGCACTGCTGCCTTGCAGCAAGACGGTTCCTGGTTTAAATTCCCGGCCTAAGATCTATCTGCATGGAGTTTGCATGTTCTCCCTGAGCATGCATCAGTTCTCTCTGGCTACTCTGGCTTTCTCCCACAGTCAAAAAACAGAACTTTTATTTTCATTGGCTAAATTCTCCTTAGGTTTGAATGAATGAATGAATGAATGAATGAATGAATGAATGAATGAATGAATGAATGAATGAATGAATGAATGAATGAATGAATGAATGATTAGGAATACCATAAATTCTGGAATTGGCCTCTGTAGACTTGCCATTTTATCTCACAGATGATCCCAGGTATCCTAAGAAGGGTAATCAGGGCACTTGGTCTGGCAAAACTCTGCAAAAATGTTTAGTATTGTGTTGATTAACATTGCAAAATGAGGTTTTATTGTAATGATATTTTCTTTACAATATTTACAACACACACCTTGCTCATTTATAAGTTAATTAAGTTATATTTAAATTGGTATTCAAACTTTTCAGTCTTACATAAGCAGAGGCTTAGATAAAATAATTTACTGTTTGGAAAAGATCAATTAAGGTGTTTTTCTTTTGTTACCTTCATAAACGTCCCTTTGATGCTCTAATATCTAACAACCAATTAGTTTGATTCTCTCTCCAACTATTTGTCTCCCTTTAATCCATTTGGTAAGGCTTTAATTATGCAAGTTCTGAAATAAATTTTGACAATGAAACTTGTTTTGAGACCATAATTTATTGATGGAAACCTTTCTGACTGAACAGAGATAACGTTCTTTAAACATTTTTCTTCTACATATAAGCTGCCATTTACCACAACTTGGTTTTAATTCTTATGGTGTTCCTTGTGGCCCTTAAAGTGGTTTCCACACTCGAAAATATGTGGTTAAACTTGCACTTGATTTTTGGTTTTGACATTTCTTTAAGCTTTAAATTATGAAGCTTGTCTTTTATTTAAAAACTTCCATTGCCGTTATCTATCTCATCTTTGATTGGGTCTGGATCACATGAGTCCATCGTCTATCTTGAAGACACTAATCATCTGTCCGAACGGTCAGTTAACTGAGTTTGCTATAAGGTCCACTATATAGTAGATTATAGGGTGAAATAATTTTACAATTTCAGTATTTTTTTTTTTCTATAATGAGAAACAACATTTTTGGAGTCAGCTTTCCCTGACCTACCCACTGACTTATTGAGGGGTCTGAAATCTAAACTGCATCATTTATTTTATTATTATTATTATTTTTATAGAAGTTGGGATTTTTCTGTCCTCTTCATCCAGCAATAATAATGTTATATTTCATTTGAATAAAATATAATAAATGGAAAGTGTTGCTAAACATTTCAATTAAGATATTAATTCAATTAAGACTAATTAAGATGTAACTGATTTTCACATGTATTGAATATTGGATTCTAAGGTCAGAATTAATGAGAAAAACTTCAAATGTTCGTGTCAGAAATTCAACATTTGGATTTGGTGAAGCTAAGAGTCTTCAAAAACCGAAAAAAACAGAAAATACTGTACAAGTAGGAGCTGCCTTAGAAGGCAAACATCATTGTTACAGCTCCGTGTAAAAGCTTTCTTTAAAAAGCAGATTATATTAGATTTGCTTTCCCACAATGTGGAACTCAGAACTGACTTCTGACTTTCTTTTGCAATGGTTTGTGATCTTAACTTTAATTCTTGTTATCAGAATCAATTGTATTGGCCAAGCTTGTGTGAACAAAGAGGGATTTTAACGTGGCTCTCCATTGCTTACATCATTATTAACATAACCACAATATATAGAAAGCGCACATAAAGGCGATGGAGACAGGATTGTAGTAAAAGTGTACATTTTTGGTTTGTAATATGGTTAAGGGTCTGTACCTGTGAAGATATATCTTCATCAAGTAAATGCTTATTGAAGCTTAAAACTAAGTCTTTTGTAATGGTAGTAGCACTAATGTTAAATTACACTAAAACTAAATTATGAAGTTGCTTTGCATTAAAAAGGTGATATCATCAATCTAAGTTTTTTTTTCCTAAACTTGTTTGTTCATCTATTTTGTTCTGCATTAAAACAGAAGGATTTGTAAGAGGTATCTTGGTTGCAGCTTAAAAACATACAGCTTTGATTTTCTCAAATTTCTTTACTCTCAACCTGCCCATGCCCCTCTGCTTACTCTCATGTCATCCGAACCACCCTTGTGGTTTTCTTGGCTGTGATTGACAGCCACCCATTTCACCCTGCTTTTTAATTGCATCCCTAACCCTCAATTTGCCTGCCCGAAACTGCTTCAAAGAAAACCCGTGCTCATACAAAAGTTCCTGAAGATTGCACTTCCTTTTTTCTTAGACCAGCTGAGAGTGCAAATTGAAAGGATGGCATCTAATCCGGCTGCTAAAAGACTTTTTTTTTTTAATCCCATTGTTTAACTGGAGACTCTTTTTATTTTCACTGTGGATTTGTGTTTAGGTATGCAGCCTGTGTGACTTACAGGCTGCTCTGAGGCTTTGTATGTAATGCTTGGTTGACATTTTCATGAACCTTTTGCGTGTAAGCTTGTGCCCTAAAATGAGTGGACGGATGTACGTTTCTGTGCTTGTCTTTGAAGTTTGCACACCTGTTATAAAGCGTCATGAGAAGCAGTGATTCATCCTTTTAATGTTGTAGCAGAAAGCCCCATGCCTGTTTACAGTGCAAACACAAAGAATCAGAGGTCAACAGCATGTCAAACCCTCACATGCTGGTCGTTATTTTTAGCCTCCAGATCAACTTCCCAACAGTTTGAAAAACTGTCTTTGCAGCTTTCAATTGTGGATGGAGAACGTTTACATGTCTTTCTGTTTTAGGGAAAATAAGCTAAGGTTTGGTCTTTTAAAGAGGAGTAGATTGTGTTTTTTTTGTGTTACTGGTCAGTGATTTTGTTGCCCTGTAATTTACAGTTATGACTTTCCTGTTTAAAGATTCTCTGTAGTGATTCAGCAAATTTAACCCTACAGCCTATACTGTACAAATTTTCTTCTGCTGTAAAGTTTAATTTTTAAAGTCTTGTTAATTTCCATATAATTGAATTTTGTGCGTTTGCAGATTCAGATATCTGATTTTCAGAGGATAATAAAACATAAAAGGAGAAAATGTGCTGCAGACTTTTTCATAGAGATTGTGTTTTACATCTGACATTAAATAAAGAAATCACCCACTTCTCCCCGATAAAGAGCCACAGCATATGTCCTTGAAATTTCTCATTTGTATTGAATTTTTAAAGTATGTTGATGTTTCAAAGATGAATTTAATGTAGTAGGAAAAATTATCATGTTTTTCAGTATTGGATCTTCAAATCATTGATCAGAGTCAATCAAGGGAGAGATTAATGCATATGTAGTGGAAAAAAAAGATGGACAATAAGATTATGACAGGTCTCTACCTGCTGTAAACATGTTTGCTTTGCAAATAAGAAATAATTTAGAGAATAGTATTGCATTTTATGCAGAATACAGACGTTGTCCCAGCGGATATTGTTGAGCACCAGTGGGAAATTATAAAAGTAAGATGTCAAACAGAGGAAGATGAGCTGCCACATGTTTTGAATCCCCGCAGAGAGGATCTAAAGCTGCACTTGTCAAACAAAACCTCTGTAGTTTGGTGCAACTATAGATTCATGCATAGTCAGTTTCTTATATATAAACTCCTTTATTATGACTTGGATGGTGTGGAACTTTTTAACTTCCTGCCCCCCTTTTATCTGTTCAGAAATACAAACATTTTCTTGATGCCAATATAAGGGAGGAGTTTGGTAACTAATTATGAAGGAGGCTATTCAGATTATTCAGATGCTTGCTTTGCTCCCCCCTCCTTTCTTTTCCCCCTGGCAATGAAGGGTCTTTTCTGTCCCCAGAGAGTGATGTCAGCATGGCCCATTGAAAACAGCCGCCGTGTGCTCAGAGATGAATGCCCTGGCTTAGCACAATGGCCCCAATTTGAATAGCACGCGGATATGTGCCAGATCGGGGCTGTGACAAAAGAAAGAAGGGCTACTCCGTTCTCATTTAGCCATGCTGTTATTTCAGTAGCCATAAATTTGCGACATCCATTTATGTCTTTTGTTGTTTTTAAGTGTTGTTGTAGTTTGAAACCAGTCGATGACCTATACAGGGCTGCCCTCTCAACTTTTGGACTGGAATTTGTTTTGGTGGCTCGTAACTGAAGAGGATTTTTTCTGTTTGTGCTTCTGGCCACAGATCTACACGGACTGGGCCAACCACTACCTTGCCAAGTCAGGACACAAGCGTCTCATCAAGGACCTCCAAACGGATGTGACGGATGGTGTTCTGCTGGCTGAGATCATACAGGTCGTTGGTAAGTTAGCTCTAATTTGGTTTGTATCTTGGCATATTCAAGCTTTGCTCCTTATGTGATCGAGGGAGAAAAATAGAGTTTACTTATCTGTAAAGCTGCTTTTATTTTGTTATTATCTCAGAAAACTTCATCTTCTTCATCTGATGTCTTTTTGATGTCATCTTTTTCTAGCTATTATGTATTTAATCTTTTTAAAGTTTACCTAGCCCCTAATTTCTGTGTTAATAATATAGCCTCTAGTAATACTTTTGCCTCAAATAATCATGTTTCTAAAGTAAACATGTAATATCTTTAACATTAGGTAAAGTATGGTTATTCTGCCTGCAGGGGGCTGTGAAAGTTAGTTGTTCCCGTGTGTTTTTTGAACTTTGACCCACTCAGCGTCATCATCATCATCAGTCTTGTCATTTTGTCTGGCCGCCCTTGTCCTGTCATTGTATCTACTGCCAGACTCGAAGCTGAAACAGGCCGACACCAGCTGACCGGTGACTCAGCAGCATGCGAATGACTGCTTCGTCTCCCGGCTCTTCTCCTGTGACCCAGATTTGAAACTTCCCAATATATGAACGCTGACATTGTTCTCAGAATGTAGCTGTTTTATGACTCTTATTTAGGCTGGATCTGTCTTCAAGCATTTCTCCACTTCTTTATTAACACTTTGTCATCATACCACCAAAAACTTTTCTTTATTTGGATTTCAAAGTTTTCAACAATTAAAAATCTGGATTCTCTTATATTTATTTTTTTCATTTACTCTTATTCATGTTAATCAAACCCTTTTCAAGTGGTTGCCCTTAGAAGTTAGTTAATCAGTAAGTAATTATCTTTTGTGGGTAAAGTAATTTTCGCATGTACAGTAAGTACAGCTATCCTTTAAAGGCCTCAGAGGTTTGTTGGAGAGCAAACTGCATCAGTAAGACCAAGAAATATAGCAGACAGGTCAGGAAAAAAACGTGCGCTTTAAAAAACTATTTAAATCATAAAACTGCTACGCAAACTTTAAGGATCTCCCAGATTCATGCTTAAATTATCATTTGAAAAAGGAAAGAGGATGGCTAAACTTAAAAGATACCCAATATTTATTCTGGAGAAGGTGCTTAGATCCACAGCTAAGGTCGAAGAAGATATTAACGGTTAGTAACATATGTCACAAAATGAGTGGCACAAGGAGAGAGGCCGTAAAATATCCTGCATTTTCTTTCAAAATTATACACCATAGGGAAACAACAACGGTTAGAATGGCCTAGTCAAAGGCAAGCCTTACAGTCTGTTTATGAAAAGAACGGGATGGATTGAAGTCTTGTCCAGATATTTATTTGGTAACACAATGACAATCACAAGAATTACTAAATCTGCTGAATGCTGATACAAAATAAAAGTAGAAAACGATCATTTAAAAAATTTAAAGTACTAAGTTTAAGTCCGTGGGTCTTTTTAACCCTTTTTTGTTGTGTTCTGGATCCTGTCATAAATAGTAAAGAAAAGACCCTCTGTTAAATTATTTTACAAACAAATGATCCATCCATGAGTTTCTCAATACGGTACTGCCAACTTGGTGTGTGGAAAAAATGTCCCATTAGCAGCTCTACTATCTTGTTTAAAGAGGGTTGATTATTTAAAAATAACATAATTTCTTTTATGAAATATTCAGTGATTCAATTGTTTGGTTCCATTCCAAGAGTGGAGAGGTTCAACCCCAGGTAATAGGGAGAGTTACGGGGTGGTGGGGTCACCTATCCAAATGAAGGCTTTTTTCTTCCCTCTCTACAAGATAAAGAGGAAGAAAAAAAACACATGATCCTGTGATGGAGCTGCTCTTTTGGCCCCGCTGTGTCTCTGATGCAGAAGTCTCTGCTGCTGGCACAGTTGTCAGCTGTGATCTGATGGTGGTGTCTCAGCTGCGATGGGCTGGGCCTCTAATGGAGGGGAGTGAGCCTTAACACCCTAACCTCCCCCCAAACATACACACACACGTTAAAAAAAGCAGCACAACACTGCTGGCCGGGGCCTCAGTGGCATTGCCACCATTTGTCGGGGCCAGATAATGTCTCATGTCTCTGTGATGGGGGGGTGGGGGGTTGGGGGTCACTATTACAGCCACCAGCATGTGCACCTTTGCTGCTTTGCACTTATACACCAACTGTCTAGTACACAAATATACCGGAGTCTCCATCCTTTGGAGTAAAGTGGAGGAGTACTATGACTGAACAGACTGGGATGAGTTTTTAATTTCTCCTCCTTTTGTCTCTTTTTTCTCCTTTTTTGTCTTTTCTTCAGCCAATGAGAAGATTGATGATATCAATGGTTGTCCCAAGAGCTGTTCTCAGATGGTAAGTGACCTGCAAAGTTTGTTTTGGGAAGGAGCTGTAAAATCTTAAGAGACGGTGTGTGTGGGTGTGTGCATGTGTCGGGAATATACTCTTCCCCCACTGGAAGCTGTGGTGCAAAAGTCAGTGTGAGTGATTGTAGATGGGAACCGTTAGTCCATTTATATTTACTTTTATGGTCTAGTGGGCTACCGTCTGTGAAACATCTGGCCGAGACTTTGGGCGTTTGGCACTCAGTTAAAAGCATGCTAGGTTTGGGTTTTGGAGTCACTTATGCTTCATCTTGTTACAGTTGTAAAGAGGAGAGTATTTTCTCACAACTTTAAGAGTAAACACAGATCTTGAAATTTAGAGCCGGTGGCAAAAATATTGAGACTGTATTCTGGAGATTTTTGTTATAGAGAGCTTTGTAGAAAGTGTAGAATTTGAATTATTTCACTATTTTCTGTTCTTGTTAGAAAATGAACCAAGCATCCCAAGGCAGGAACCACCCTCTGCTGCATGTGATGGGTTATAAATTGGGCTAGTGTGCCAGCTGAGGGGGGGTATTTTTGGCCACCAGCCAGATTACTGAAGCCTTTCTAAGCACTAGAGAGACAGAGGGAGAGACATACACACCCAATTTTAACATCTGAGACTCCATAAAATTCACAGCTGATCCCTGAACCCTCATAGCCGCATTCACCCCATAATGTGAGGGCATTTATTTCACACTGATCAAATTTTTTGTTAGGATTTAAATAATCTGTTTCTTCATAAAAAAAAAAATATATATATATATAATGAGTAAAAATGATAAATAATACATAATAATGAGTAAAAATAAATAATCCTTTGAGTAAAACTTTTCCTCTACATGAATGAAGATCCATTTACGTTTATAACAGAGAATGTGCCGCACTTTAAATTTGAACTTGTTGTTTTTTTATGAAGTTGAATAAAATAACATAAATTGTTTAATGAACCAAAAATATGACACATATTAGGTTTAAAAGACTTTTGTTGGCAAACTCTGCCTATCATCTTCATTTAAAGCAAAACTTTAATTTAATATAAAAGCCTCCCAATAACAACCCTTGATCAACCTTAACTGTTATGTTGCATAATTAGCACAGAATATTGTTAGCCAAAAGAACAGAAGAAAACAATTGTCTTATTGTATAAATAATTTTAGCCTTTTCAATAATGTGCATCTTATTAGGTACCGAATTAAATTTGAAAAACTTCTATTAATTTGTTGCTTCTTCTTTTGTTGCAGTAATTTAATCCTCTCCTACTTATGTGCAATAAAAAAAATTAGATTTTTAACAATAATAAAACAGCAGAGAACTGGCCCTTAGAATAAACATATCGGGCATAATATGATTTATTACGTGTCATAAAATTTCATCTTACCCCTTGAATTGAATTTAACCTGAAATTCATTGATGTTACCTCCCAAATAGGGACATTTCTGCTAACCCCAAAATGCTTTACATGTTGGGGCTACATTTTCTAATCATTGTCCTTTCACCCTGTTTATAGTTAGACATGGTCTACATACTTACGGTCCCTGTCGCATAATTTGTTAGGTGATCATATCTAAAGGAAGTTTTAAAATTGTAAGGTTTTCTTATATTTACCTCACATATGAACACAGATTTGTTTACTTCAAACTACAAAGAAGCCTCCCTGTCATCCTCACAGTGGATGGATACTACAAAGTGCTATACAGTTATGAGTTTTGAAGACTTAATAAAATCCAGGACTCTGGATTAAAAAAATAAGTGAAAGATCGGTTGCATTATTGACCATATCAGTGCACCTGGTCAACCTACTAAGCTGCAAGCAGAGTCACCTGCACAGCAGATGGCGCAATAAGCACTTAATCCACCTTAAATGCTTTTCCATGGAGTAGTATTGCTATTGATGATGATGATTGATGATTACTTTATTCAACAGACTATTATATAGCAGGAAGCTAAAATTCAGTAAGATATTTCAGTGCAAGCATATATTTTGTTTGGCCCTAAAGAGAGAAAAATAAAGGTTGCCCTAAACATGTTACATAGATGGAACAACACAAAGTTCATTCATGCTGACTTCTTTTAGGTCTCATACCATTAGTGCCTACTAGCTTTAAACACATGACTTGTGTTTTTATCTATTTGTTCCCTTTTTTTACCCCTCAGCCTTACAAATATAACTCTGATTATCATCAACAGTCATTGTACAAAAACGTTTCGTCTGTGTGTCTCGGGCATTCACAGTATTGTTCGATTAATAGTGGCTATCAGATGTGCTTTGAATATCCTTTTATAAGCTCAGTTTCTAAGCTTATGTGGGAATTAATGGATCTCTAGATATAATTTGCTTTGAAATAGACTTCAAGCAGTCAATCCTTGGTGAGGGCAGGTGCAACCGCAGTCATTATGCTAATCACTGCATTGTGTGCCGTGGTTTTGTCAAAACATACACACCCATAGTTTATTTGACATCTGGCTTGGAAAATTTAACATTGTTTTATTGCCAGTTATCACCATTTAACGTAACCCTGACCTCTAAATGAAACAACAAAAACAAACCCTTTATACTGTAGGTGAAAGAAAGTGTAGCACCCTCACCCTGCAGTCCAGCTCCTTGATTAACATGCTGCCTGTTTTTACAACTGTCACATCCTTGTTAAACGGACCCCCATTGTCTGGTCATTGCTCTACCACCCAGATTGTTGGTTTAGTCCAGAGTAAGGGTTTGGATTTCACTCTGAGCTGTGAAAACCACACAGGACGCCACAGGGAGGCACGCAAACAGTGAAACATGGCCAACCTTGTCCAAGTATGAAAGCTGAGTCTTTAAGGTGATCCAACGTTTTCTTGCTGCAAGATGTAAAGAGAGGAGTTTGCTGCGTTATTTTAGATGCTAATAACATGTTTGCTAGACTGGTTTGATCTGCCTTTTTTTCTGTTACTGTGAGAACAGATTTAGCTGAAATGGGAGACTGACAGTTACCTGAGTAAAAACCAGAATGGCCAGGTATTTAATGTGCCTTTCTACCTGTATGTACTTGTTAAAAATCTCAACTGACAGTAAGGCTGTCCTGTAAAAAAATATTTTCCCAGGTTTCACACAGAAATGCAGTTTGATTTGAAATCAACTCACAGGCTTTAAGATGCTCCATAATAGGCTCTAATGGATTTTAGTGAGAGGTGAGTGTTTTTATATTTCTGCGCCTGGTAAACAAGTGTGATTTGGATACTCTTAGCTGACTGACATGTGTTTGACAGATTCAGTATGTGCTGCTGTGTTGAAAAGTATGGAAGCATTGTTTAGGTTTTCGATATGTAGATCAGACTGTTTAGACACTTTCCAGTCTCTGGTCTATTTTCATATTTGCCTTGAAATCCTCTGAACTTCCATATCAATGTGTTTTTGCATCATTTTTTTTTATTGCTGCTGCACTTTATGGAATGAAAATGTTCATTTTGCTGCTAATCTGCTGCTCATCCACTGCCTGAAATCTTTGGAAAATTAAATTTTGTTTTGTATACACTCTGTGTATAGAAAATGACAGTAAAAGTTGTCTAAGTCCAGCTCAAAAATTTTCACATGGATTTCAAAAGAAGAAGTTGACATTTTTTTCTCATCCAGAGTCATTTAATATAAGGATTTTGTTTTGAGATCCCTGGTGCATGCTTGTGTAGTTTTACAGGTGCAGTAGCTGACTCAAGTAAAGATGAACCAATATGAATTTTCTGGTTAATCTTGCAGCTCAGTTTACTTTAGATATGCAATTTACTTATACCATTATATATATATATATATATATATATATATATATATATATATATATATATATATATATATATATATATATATATATATATATATATATATATATATATATATATACATATACATATAAACTCACTGGCCACTTTATTAGGTACCCCATGCTAGTAACGGGTTGGACCCCCTTTTGCCTTCAGAACTGCCTCAATTCTTCGTGGCATAGATTCAACAAGGTGCTGGAAGCATTCCTCAGGGAGTTTGGTCCATATTGACATGATGGCATCACACAGTTGCCGCAGATTTGTCGGCTGCACATCCATGATGCGAATCTCCCGTTCCACCACATCCCAAAGATGCTCTATTGGATTGAGCTCTGGTGACTGTGGAGGCCATTTGAGTACAGTGAACTCATTGTCATGTTCAAGAAACCAGTCTGAGATGATTCCAGCTTTATGACATGGCGCATTATCCTGCTGAAAGTAGCCATCAGAAGTTGGATACATTGTGGTCATAAAGGGATGGACATGGTCAGCAACAATACTCAGGTAGGCTGTGGCGTTGCAACGATGCTCAATTGGTACCAAGGGGCCCAAAGAGTGCCAAGAAAATATTCCCCACACCATGACACCACCACCACCAGCCTGAACCGTTGATACAAGGCAGGATGGATCCATGCTTTCATGTTGTAGACGCCAAATTCTGACCCTACCATCCGAATGTCGCAGCAAAAATCGAGACTCATCAGACCAGGCAACGTTTTTCCAATCTTCTATTGTCCAATTTCGATGAGCTTGTGCAAATTGTAGCCTCAGCTTCCTGTTCTTAGCTGAAAGGAGTGGCACCCGGTGTGGTCTTCTGCTGCTGTAGCCCATCTGCCTTAAAGTTCGACGTACTGTGCGTTCAGAGATGCTCTTCTGCCCACCTTGGTTGTAACGGGTGGTTATTTGAGTCACTGTTGCCCTTCTATCAGCTCGAACCAGTCTGGCCATTCTCCTCTGACCTCTGGCATCAACAAGGCATTTCCGCCCACAGAACTGCCGCTCACTGGATGTTTTTTCTTTTTCGGACCATTCTCTGTAAACCCTAGAGATGGTTGTGCGTGAAAATCCCAGTAGATCAGCAGTTTCTGAAATACTCAGAACAGCCGTTCTGGCACCAACAATCATGCCACGTTCAAAGTCACTCAAATCACCTTTCTTCCCCATACTGATGCTCGGTTGAAACTGCAGGAGATT